ATGGAGAGCTATACCATGTTCATGGATTAGAAGACAATATTGTTAAGAAGGCAACTGTCCCCAAATTGACCTATAGGTTCAATGGAGCCCCTGTCAAAATCCCAGCACATTTTTTGAAGAAATAGACAAGCTGATCCTAAAATTTGTTTGGAAATACAAAGAACTTGAAGAGCTAACTTAATTTTCCAAAAGAGAAACCAAGTTTGTTCTCATACTACCCAATTTTGAAAACTTACTATAAAGCTTCAGTAATCAAATTTAGTATGATACTAGCATAAGGATAGTCATATTGATCAACAGAACAGAACAGAGAATCCAGAAATAAACTTTCACACTTATGATCAACTGATTCTCAAAAAATGTAACCAAAGTAATTCAATAGGCAAAAGACAGTGTTTTGAACAAACTGTCCTGGAACAACTGGATATCCATATTAAAGACAAATAAAACCATAGATCTTTATGTAACACCACACACAAAAGTTAATTCCAAGTGGATATTAGACCTAAATAAAGAACTAAAAACTGTAAAACTTCTAGAAGAAAATACAGTTGAAAAATCTTGTAACCTGAGACTAGGCAAAGATTTCTTAACTATGACACCATAAGCACAATCCATAAAAGAAAAAGAAAAAAAGATAAACTGGACTTCAACAAAATTAAAACCATTAAAAGTGAAAAAATAAGCCACAGACTGGAAAAATATTTGCAGATCATATGTCTGATAAATCACCTTTATTTAGAGTTTAGAGAGAACTCTTACAACTCAATAATAAAACAACTCAATTTAAAAATGAGTAAAAGATTTTAATATAGTTAAATACCAGGGGAAAAAATACATGAATGGCAAACATATGAAAAAGATGCCCAATAGCATTAGAATTAGTTTTTACTCAGAGTATATAAAGAACCCTTACAACTCAATAATAAAACAAATAACCCAATCTAAAAATGGGCAAATGATTTGAATAGACATTTCACCAAAAAAGATACACAAATGGCAGATAAGCACATGAAAAGTTGACCAACAATATTAGTCATTAGGGAAATGCACATTAAAATCACAATCAGGCCACTACACAACCACTAGGATGGCTAAAATGGAAAGACTAACAATACCAAGTATTTGTCAGGAAGGAAACAAAAACAAAAATAAAAACAAAGACAAAAAAAAAACAACAGACCCCTCAAACACTACTGGTGGGAATGAATAATGGTAAAGCTACTTTGGAAAAGTTTTGCAGTTTCTTAAAAAGTTAAACATAAACTTACCATACCACCCAGTAATTCGATACCTAGGTTTTTAACCAGAAGAAATTAAAACAAATGTTTACACAAAAACTTGTATGGGCAAGTTCTATATATCATTTTGTTCGTATTAGCTAAAACTGGAAACAATCTAAATGTTCATCAACTGGGGATGAATAAATAATAAAAAGATTACTCAACAATAAAAAAGAAATAAACTCCTAATATATGCACTAACATGGGTGAACCTCAAAAGTACTGTAAGTAAAAGAAGCCAAATATGTAAGACTATGTATTATACAATTCCATTAATTTGGAATTTCTAGAGACAAAACTAGTGGCAGAAAGTAGATCAGTGACTGTCTGGAGTGGGGAGTGGGAGTAGAGGCTGACTACAAATAAGCAAAAGGAACTTTCAAGGGGGGATGGAAATATTCTTTAAAAAAAAAAAGATTTTATCCATTTATTTGAGAGAGAATGTGAGCAGGGGTTTGGGGGGGAGGGGCAGAGAATCCCAAGCAGGCTCCACACCCAGCACGGAGACCACTGCGGGGCTTGATCTCACAAGGGAGATCATAACCTGAGCCAAAACCGAGTCAGACACCCAACCCACTGAACCACCCAGGTGCCCAGGGATGGAAATATTCTAAAACTGGATTGTGATGATAGTTGCACAACTCTGTAAACTTACTAAAAATTCTTGAACTACACACTTACATTGACTGAATTTTATGGTATGTAAATTATATTGCATTTTTTTTTAAGATTTATTTATTTATTTATTTGTGAGAGAGAGAAAGAGAGCACAAGCAGGGGGAGCAGCAGAGGGAGAGGGAGAAGCAGGCTCCTCACTGAGCAGGGAGCCCGATGTGGGACTCGATCCCAGGATCCTGGGATCAGGACCAGAGCCGAAGGCAGACGCTTAACGACTGAGCCACCCAGGCGTCCCTATACTGCAATTTTAAAAATATTTTTAGAACTAAGGAAATGAATTTTCATTAAGTTCATCAAATATTAAAAACTCTGCCATATACGGGGTGCCTGGGTGGCTCAGTCGTTAAGCATCTGCCTTCGGCTCAGGTCTTGATCCCAGGGTCCTGGGATTGAGCCCCGCGTTGGGCTCCAAGCTCAGCGGGAAGCCTTTTTCTTCCTCTCCCACTCCCCCTGCTTGTGTTCCCTCTCCCGCTGTCTCTGTCTGTCAAATAAATAAAATCTTAAAAAAAAAAAACTCTGCCATATACAATAGAAGGCAAATATGTAAGTAATCCCTAATCCCAAAATGCTCTTTCTCCAGGTTTAGATAAGTGCCTTAGGAATAGTGAGTCATGGGGCTATGGGAGAAGAGACAGAAATGAGAAGACAGAGCCTATGGTTGTTGCCTTGGCCTTATCCTAATTATTTTGAAGAGTAATAGGATGAGATGTTAAAGTCTAATCAGACTGCTCTTAGGTAGTCAGGAAGCAGAAATTTAAATGGTCTGATTAGAGCCCAGGAAAACAGCTTTTCCAGCTGAACTCCACTGGTCTCAGACTTCACCACTGAGGGACATCCTCCAGAAAGCAAAACAATGAATACAACACGATGCCGCAGAAGTTTTATTTGATGTCATGCTGGCTTGCTTCCAAGGGAGTATATCCTAGTCAGTACTAGTTGTCAGATTAGATATTTTCAGCTCCACTTATTTTTATTGGTTGGACACACTCAAACTAGTAGGCAGACTCACCAATGACCTGTCAAGTACATGAAGAAAAGCTAAAAAAAAATTTAAGAAAGTCAGATTGGGCCATAGTGACCAAGTGAAAAAATTATGACTTTCTTAAATGACTCTTTAGTTGCTATGAGCTAACATTCATCAGGTTCCTACTAAATGTTAGGTATTATTATAAGCACATTTAGATATATTTGTTCATTAAATCCTCAAAAAACGCTATGAGCTGTGGAGTGTTTTTATCTCCTTTCTATGAGTGGGGAAACTAAGGGACAGAGAAGTGAAGTGACTTACTCAAGGACACAGCTAATGAATGGCAAGGCTGAGATTTTAACCCATGAGTTTACCTAGAGAAACTATGGTAGCCACTATGTAACATTGCCTCCCCATTTATATATTTACCCACTAGAACTATGTCCCTCTTCTGTTCAAAACTCCCTAGTGTTCCTCTGCTACTCAAGGTCAAAGCCAAAGTTCCTACAATGGTCTACAAGTCCCTGTGTGCTCTAGCTTCCCATCACCTCCCTAAAACATCACTGACCCATTGCATTCACTTTGCTGTTCCTGGATCACACTAGACTTGTACCTATCTCAGAGCCTTTGTATCTGCTGTTCCTACTGCCTGTAACACTCTTTTCTGAGACAGTGGTTTGCTCCCTTGTTCCTTTCAGACCTCTACACAAATGTCACCTTTTTAGAGAGGCCTTCCCTGACTACTCTTCCTAAAATAGTACTCCCCACCCTTTTTATACTTAATTATAAGCACCCGAGAATGTTTATTATCTAACTCCACCATCTAGAACAGAAGCTCCATAAGAGCAGGGACATCTAGGAGTTTGGCTTTGCACCACCAGTGCCTAAGACAGCACCTGGCAAAAAACAGACAATCCTTGAATTTAAAAATCTGCCCCATATGCTTTGATTCACAACCCAGTCATATAACTTTAGGTAACAATTCATGACCCTGTACCAATAAAATTCAAACCAAAAGAAAAAATGCAGTCTTTTAGAACCTTTATTTCTATTATTTAAAATCTGATCTTCCTTAATGTGTATGTATATTTCCATGCCTCCTTTAAAAGGTGAAGTTTCTTTGGAAAGTCTGATGACTTCTATAAACTTTGCTACACAAAAAATTATTACAAGTGTAACTTCTTAACTGTGTCTTGAAGGGGAAAATAAGCCCAAGTTGCCAATGGATGCCTGTCCCTCAAGGGAAAATGAAATTCTTAAATGCACTGACTTAATACTGCAAAGTAAGTAAATAACACATATTGAACTTCGGGCTCAATTTACACAAGACTCTAACTTCCTAGCTACAGCTAGATGACTTTCTGACTATTAGTACCTCAAAGTGCCTGTTTAAAAAAAAAAAAGAGTAAAAAGCAGATTTTTAAAAACTTTTCACTTTATTTGGGTCATTTTAGAACACACATATTTGCTTTGTTGTTGTTGTTAACAGAGCAGTAAGTCACAGAACACCATGAGCTCTTCCTCAATAAATTAAATGCTCCCTAGGAGGAGAGGAAAGAGGAAAAGGTGAGGGAACACAGGCAAAAGTAAGAACAATATGTGCCAAAAGATAGATTTTATAAGAAGGCGAGCCACCCCTTCCGAAACTGCAGGTTTCGAGGAGGCTGGTTTCAAACAAATCGAGAGCGATGGGTAAAGTCCAACTCTCCAAGTACTGTTGCAGATCATCCGGAAACAAATACTGGCGGCACTCGGGGAGTGATCGAAAGTGTAGTAGTAGGGCCCCCTCCGTCCCACTCATATCAAGTATCTCCACGCCACTCACCTTGCGTTTTAGATGAGCACAAATCACATCCCTACTTTAATCAGGGAAGTTAGGAGTCAGACATCCCTCCCTATACATACACAAACCATTCACTCAAGGGCTGTAAAACGCAGTCCACGGAATCTGGGAAGACCGAAACCCGGAGTCGCTGGAATCTCTCACTCCAAGTTCTCTCCGCTTTCTGAGGCTGAGCCGAGAGGAATGCCACAGGGACAAAGCGGGGAGGAAGGGGGCATCTCCCCCTTACCTTGATGGCTTTCTCCATGTCGCTCTCCTTGGACATGCTCCGTGGGGCCTCTACAGCCGGGAGCGGCGGAGGCTGCACAGGTGCCCGGTCCCACCGTAGCCGGGGGAGCAAGGGGCTCGGCGCTCGGGCCCCTGGGCCTCGGGGAGACCGGCAGCAGCCGTCCCCAGGGACCGGCGGGGATGAGGGCCCCGGCGCCGGCTCCGCTTCGGTGGGTGGCTCTAGGCTGGCGGCGGCGGCCCCCGGGGACAAGCCTTTGTGCTGGGCCCCGTGCGGCCGCCTCCCGGCTTCATCCCCGGCCGGGGAGGCAGGCTCCCGGGGCAGGGCGAGGCGGGGAGGGTCCCCGTCCGGGGAGCTATGCAGAGGCCTCGCGGGGCCGCCGATTAGGCCTGGGCTCGCCAGGTCCTAATGAGGAACCTGCGCCTCCGTCTCCGCCGCCGGCACCGCTGAGAAGCCGAGGCCGAGCCGGCCGCCGCCGCCGCCGCCGCCGCTGCTCCCGATGCCGCTTCAGCGCCACACATCGCCGGGACACCCGCGCCGGGCAGCCCCGCCGGCCGGCCGGCCGCCCGCCGGCGCTGGGTCCTGCCTGAGCTCCGGGCCGCCCGTCCTGCCGCCCGACTCCTTGCCCCCACGGCTCCACGCGCCCCTCGCCGCCCTCCGCTGGGGTTTCCGAGCGCCCCCAAACCACGCAGTTGATGTTCAGGCATCTGCCAGGGTCTCCTCAAGCTGCGCCACACTCGGGACAGGCCCCGGGGCCCTCCGCAGCGCTGGCGCCGCGCTGATGACGCAATGCGTCGGGCTCCGACGGGGCGGAAGCACTGGAGAACGCCACCTGACTCGAGTGGCGTTCGCGCCCCTTTTTTCCTCTCAGAGCCGAGTTGGAGGTTCGTTCTGCCAGAAACAGCCCGCGCGCAGGAGCCGGGGGTTTCAATTCGTGATGAAGAAGAGGAAACGGAGGTCCCGGGCGGGTCTAGCGGTAAGGGAACAAAGTTGTGTATAATAATAGCAGGCATAGTTATGTATTCGGAGGGTTAGTTTTACGTGAGGCTCTTTTTCCCAATCAGGTTCTTTATTCTTTACAAAGCAGGCATTTGGCGCTGCGAGGTAAGTGTGTTCTTACCCCGCGTTTACAGGTTAGGTAATTAAGGCTCTGAGAGCCCAACTCTCTTGGGCACAGCTGAGAAGTAGTCAAGTCAGAATTGGGACCCACGTTTGTGTTCCTTCCACTACACCAACTACCTGTCCAAGGACCTTGTACGAGCTGTTGGCAGATCACCTCTTCATTCGTTCAGTTATGTACTGAGCACCACCGTGTACCAGGCCTGCTCAACACTTGGGAAACAATAGGAACAACAGTCGGTACCTACTCAGTGGATCTTAATTTCAGGAAAGCTAAGCAGCAAATAAACAGGGAAACACAAGAGTTTGTAGGTGCCAAGAAGAAAGTGTACAGGATGCTGAGATAAGAGAATAACTGGATGTGGGGACTCTTCCTAGTAGATGATCAGGGAATGGGGTAACGCTGAAGCTGAGACCTCTAAGGGATGAGAAGGAGCTGACTGTTGCAAATCTGAGGAGATTTCTGGGCGGATGGAACAGCAGGTGCAAAAATCTTAAGATGGAAATAAGCTAAATATATTCAAGGAGCAGTAGAATGTTCATTGTAGCTGGAGCAGAGCAAGTAGAAGGAGAAAATGACAAAGAATGAGGTTGGAGAGGTGGACAGAGGCTGTATCATACGCTCTAGGGTCATGGTAATGACTTTAGATTTTATCCTATGTAATTGGAAGGTTTTAAACCAAAGAGTGATGTGAACAAAGTTATGTTTTGGAAGATCATTCTGCTAGATAGAGAAATATGGGCAAGCAAGAGGGAAGACATGGAGAGGTATTAAGAGGCTATTGGAATAATCCAGATGAGAGATTATTTTGATGCTTGAACTCAGATAGTGGCAGCAAAGATGGAGTAGATGGATTTATGGTATGTTTTGGGAGTAGAGTTGACAGTATTTCCTGAAGGATTCGATATGGAACGTAAGAATAAGAAATGAGGGGCGCCTGGGTGGCTCATTCGTTAAGTGTCTGCCTTTGGCTCAGGTCGTGATCCCGGGGTCCTGGGATGGAGCCCCACATCAGGCTTCCTGCTTGCGAGGAAGCCTGCTTCTCCCTCCCCCACTCCCTCTGCTTGTGTTCCTGCTCTCACTATCTCTCTGTCAAATAAATAAAATCTTTAAAAAAAAAATCAAGAGTAACTTCTCTGAGTCTGGCTTTAGCAACTGGAGGGACAATGGTACCATTCAGTGATTGACAGACTTGATGCAGGTGAAGATGGGGAATCCATATTTTTTTTTCTGTCAAGGATAATTTGAGGATTTTGTGTGATTTACCAGAGGATAAGTCAAGTAATTGGATATATGTTGTGGTGCGGACGTAGTTGTCCTCTTTGTTGGCCATACGCCTACTGTACATTCCTCAGCCCCCTTAAAGTGGTGTGGCCATGTGCCTATGCTCTCCCCAATGGAAAGTGAACAGGAGAGATGTGCACAGTTTCCAGGTTTGGCCCAGAAAATTTGTCAGCAGGTGCGCTTACTTACTCTGCCAGCTGGATGATGATGAGAAGGTTCTGGAGAAGGCAAGGCTCTAAGATGGAAGATTCCTGAGTAGAGGAGAACCACTGCTCCATTGACTTATATATCCACCTAGGACTGTTACATGAGAAAAAAATAAACTTTCATTGTTTTGAACTTTTATGTATTTGACTCTTTTTGTAATAGCAGCTTTGCCTGTGCTTTCTAACACAAATAAGAGCAGTGATCCAGTAGTGAACTTTGGGAGAAATTTTCTGAATGAATTGACATTATCCATAACAGCAAGGAAATAAAAGGTGCCTTGGATTTATTCATTCATTGATTCTGTAATAATTTATCAGGTGCCTCTCTGTGCCAGGCACTGTGTTCACTTAATAGAAATGCAGAGATGAAGAACTCGTACACGAGTCTGGCAGCTCAACTTACTGGCTGTTATCTGCATGTGCTTTCCCTCTACCTGGAAACAATCTCCCCTCCCAACATACACACACAGACACACACACAGCCTAATTTCTACATGTTCTTCAACCACATTCTAAATACCATTTTAGGGGCACTGGGGTGGCTCAGTCGGTTGAGCAGCCAACTCTTGGTTTTGGCTCAGGTCATGATCTCAGGGTCATGGGATGGAGCCCCATATTAGGCTTTGGGCTCAGCACAGAGTCTGCTTGAGATTCTCCCTCCCTCCAGCTCACGCTCTCTCTTCCTCAAATAAATAAAAATAAAATCTTAAAAAAAAATTACCGGAAAGACATGCCTAATTCTTATCCCTAATCTAAGTCAGATATTCCTGTTGTCTCATAACTTACTTTCTTGTACTTACCACAGTTTTTATTTATGTATTTATTTGTTGGTTATACTTTAATGTTCTCTCCCCAACTAGACTGTAAATAATCTCAAGGGAAAGAATCTTAACATATTACTGGCCACATCCTCAACACTTAACCCACTGCAGGTGTTTAATAAATATTTGCTGAAGGAATCAGTGAATGGAGAAGGCAGAGCCCAGAGGAAGGAGAAGTTTCCTCCATTTTTTGCTGGGGAGGTGGCTGTGGTGGGCAGCCTCTAAGGTAGCCATCCATGATGCCCACCTCTAGGTATTCATGATCTTGTGTAATCCCCTCACCCTGCTTGTGGGCTGATCTAGGGACTTGCTTCTGATGACAAAATGTCATGTCTCAGATTACATTACAGGACTGTCTTTCATCTTGGGTGCGATCTCTTACTCTCTACCTCATTTGCTCTGAAGGAAGCCAGCTCAAATGTGAGGTTCTTTGTTAGTTTCCTGGGGGCTGCCATAATAAATTGCCATAAACTGGGTGACTTAAAACAACAGAAATTTTATTTTCTCACAGTTCTGGAAGCCAAAAGTCTGAAATCCATGTGTTAGCAGGGCTGTGCTCCCTCTGAAGGCTCTAGAGGAGAATCCTTCCTTACCTCTTCGAGCTTCTGGTGGCTCCCAGCAGTCCTCAGCATTCCTTGGGCAAAAGGGGTGCGTTACTCCAGTCTCTGCCTCTGTCTTCATATGGCCTTCTTCTCTGTCCTTTCCTCTTATGGAGACACTATCATTCTACCCAAATCCAGTATGATTTTATCTTAATTACATCTGCAAAGATGCTGTTTCTAAATAAGGTCACATTCTGAGGTTACATGTGGACATGAATTTGGAGGGCAGGATACTAATCAGGCCACTATAGTTGCCTAGTTGAGGGGCCCACATGTCAAGGAACTAATGTCTCTTGCCAACTGCTAGTGAGAACCTGAGACCTGCCAAAGGCCACATAAATGACTTTAGAATGGATCCTCCCCCAGTTGAGCCTTGAGATGACTGCAGCCTTCTGTGCCAGGAAGAGGCACCCAGCTAAACTGTGCCCAAATTCCTGACGCACAGAAACTGAGATAACAAATGTTGTTTTTAGGACACTGAATTTGGGGGTAATTTGTCACACAGCATAGATAAACTAATACGGAATTTGGTGCCTGGAAGTGGGATGCTGCCATAACAACTAGCTAAAATGTGGGAGTGGCTTAGAACTAGGCAGTGGGCAGAGGCTGGAAGGATTTTGAGGAGTGCATTAGAGAAAGCCTACATTATCTTGAGCAAACTTAGTAGTTTGTACTTCTCTGGAAGTACAAACTTCTCTCTGTACTGGAATCTGTACTTCTCAGTACCAAAATCTGTCTTTGTCAGCTTGGGCTGCTATAACAAAATACCATAGACTGGGCATCTTAAAAATAGAAGTTTGTTCCTCACAGTTCTGGAGTCTGGGAAATCCAAGATCAAGGTGTGGGCAGATTTGATTCCTGGCAAGGCCTTCTTCCTGGCTTGCAGATGACCACCCTCTTGATGTGTCCTTCACATGGTGGAAAGAAAGCCACCTTGAGTGTCTTCTTTTTCTTATAAGGATACTAATCCCATCATCCTCATGACCTCATCTAAACCTGATGACAACCCAAAGGCCCCACCTCCAAATAGCATCACGGTGGGGGTTTGGAGCATCAACATATGAATTTGGTGGGGAACATAACATGGCCTAAAGGTAAAG